GGGTGCGCGGTGGCGGCGGGGACGGCGGGGATGGTGGCGACGAGGGCGGCGAGGGCGGCGCCGGCGGAGCGGACGGCGGCGGAAGCGAGGGCGGCGGCTGCGGCGGCGGAGAATGCGGCGGCGGCGGCGGCAGGGGCGGTGCAAAGGGGGACAATGGGGCAGCCGGTGGAGGGGGCGGTGTCTCTGGCGGTGGGGACAGAGGCGGTGGGCTCGGTGGTGGCGGCGATGTTGGCGAGGGAGGCGGCGACGGAGGAGGCGGCGGCGGGGAGGGCGAGGCGGAGGGAGGTGGGGAGGGCGAGGCGGAGGGAGGCGGTGACGGCGATGCGGAGGGTGGTGGGGAGGGCGGAGTGGAGGGTGGGAGCGGCGGCGGAGCAGAGGGCGGTGGGGAGGGCGATGTGGAGGGTGGTGGGGAGGGCGAGGCGGAGGGAGGCGGTGACGGCGACGCGGAGGGTGGTGGGGAGGGCGGGAAGGGCAGCGACGGCGGCGGCGGAAAACAGCCACTGACCTTGTCGCCATCGCACACCTCCTTGCTGAGGTTGGAAGGCGGCCTGCATAGCCGCCACGTGTCGTCCTCGGGGTAATTTGGAGTTCCTCCGTCGAAGGGGCCAGCGTAGTAGCTGCTACAGTTTCCCAAGTCAATCAACTTCTTGCAGGCGCCGCCTTGGGGGACTTGCGTGCGGCCATCCAGTTCGCTGCACGGCGGCGGCGGCGGCGGAGCTGGGGGAGGCGGCGATGGCGGCGGCGGCGACGGCGGCCCAGGCGGTGCGGCTGAGGCGAAGACGTAGAACTTGCACACCGTCAGCCCCGCCGCAGACGGCCGGTTGAGGTAGATGTAGCGCCCCAACGCGTTGATCTCCACCTCCAACATCACGTTCGACGACACGCTCACGTCTGACTTCACCAGCGCGTTGCCCGTGTACGTCTCCGCCGTCGAGCCGAGATAGATGTCGACGTCCGTCAGCCGCTCCGCGCAGCAGTCGTTGCGGTTCTGCAGCCGCACGTAGCGCACATACGCCTCGCTCCCGAGGTCGACGCCCCACCATTGGCTTGTGTAGTGGCCGCACTCGGCCCACGGCCGTCCCGTCGTGCTGTCGGCGAACGACAGGTCGTTCACGGGCGCCTGCTTGTCGAAGGAGCTCGAGTCCTGGTACGTGGTGGCCGTGCGAAGGTCGAGCAGCTGCACGTCAGGCGGCGGCGGCGGCGGCAGCCGAGGCGGCGATACGGGCGGAGGGTCAGCCATACAGCGGCGACAGCAGCGGCGGGCCCTGCCACAGTGGAACGCCACAGAAACCGAGCAGCAAACCACAAACAGCCGCCCCATAAAAAGAATTTTTGCGCAGCGGTACGGGACTGGCGCAGCGCATCCCTAGCAGCGCAGCGGGCAGGGCGGCTCGCGCAGCGCGCGCGATCGCGCAAGCAGCGCGCGCGAGCGAGCGAGCGAGCACACACACACACACACACACACACACACACACACACACACACACACACACACACACACACACACAGAGAGAGAGAGAGAGAGAGAGAGAGAGAGAGAGAGAGAGAGAGAGAGAGAGAGAGAGAGAGAAGGGTGAACTTCGTTTTTGGTAAAAAATGAATTTTACAACAAAACTCCGTCGCACAACACTGGGCACGGGGGTGGCGCGCACTGGCAAGAAAATATTTTATGCACGTAATCCCCCCCCCAGCCCGCCGGATTCTCAGTGTGGCCTCGCCCTCGCTCGGTGCGACGCCGCGCGAGTTTAGTGCTGCCTCGCCCTCGCAGATCCAAACCAACGTGAGCGATTGGCCTCAGGCTGCGTGCGCTGCGAGTATCGAAGGCTGCCAGATTCCACGCATGGCTGGTGACAAACTCACGATCGGAGCGCTTCGCGGTGGTGGCGGCCGGCGGCTCTACTTGGTGCTCGCGCTGCTCGTGCTCTGCGATGTCTGGGCATTCGAGGCGCTTCGCGCCGAGGTTGACCCGGATCTAACCTCGTCGCCGACAGGAGAATGACACCCATATAGGCGCTAGTCCAAGCTCAGAGATATTACGCAGGGCGCTTCGATGGAGTGCCAGACCTCGGACTCTACATCAACATGGCCGCCACTTGGCCGACTCCCTTGCTTCAGCTCGCCACCATCTTCACCCCCGTGCTAGACCGCATCCCCATCCTTCGGCGCGTCTCGCTCGGCTTCTATGGGTATGTGATCGTCTCGCTCGGGATCATTGTGCAGGACGTGCTCCCTCTTCCTGAGGCTGCTCACTGTGCCATCGTCCTGGTCATCGCCTCCTGCTCTGCGTGCTTGACGTGCTTAACGCAAGGCTCGCTCTGGCCCATCGCCTCCGTCTTCCCCACGCCGCAGATCCTCGGCGCGCTCGAGGTGGGCGCTGCGTGTGCGGGGTTGATCGTGTCCATCATCAACATCCTCTGTTTTGGAATCGCGACCGCCGCACAGGGCGATCAAGACCCGGTTTACCTGCTGCGCGTGCAGAGTAACATGTACTTTGGCGCGCTGTTGGTGTTCGCCATCGTGTGCATCGGCTGCTGGCGGTACCTTCGGACTCGCAACGCTACCTTCGAGTACTACTGGCGCGAGCACGACCACGGCCCCGCCGCCGCAGAGCCGCCGCCAGCGACGCCAGCGCCGTCTGCCGAGAGTCCTATTGGGATGGCGGCCAAAGAAATGTGGCGCTCAGCAGGCACGGTGGTGCTCGCGGCAGGCCGACTGACGCGAGTCTCCGGTGAAGACCTCTCGCGACACCGCGCGAGCAAGGCGGAGCAGCTCTCGCAGGTGCTGCGGCGGAGGAGCTCCGCGCTGTGCGACGGGGCCCTCTCGACCACGCGCGAGGGCGCCGAGGGCATCGTGGAGGCGCTGTCGCATGAGGTGTCGGCGATTCGCGCGCGCTCGCAGGAGGCGGCGCGCGAGCTGTCGGCCATGGCGCAATCCAAGTGCGCGGGGGTGGCGGGGGTGCTCGACATTGCGTACCGCATCCGCGTGGACGCCGTCATCATCTTCATCACCTGCTTCACAAAGCTGCTGCTCTGGCCCGTCGCAGTCGGCTCGCTGGCCTTGCCCGTCTGGGACGGCGGCAGTGACGAGAGTGCGTCGATGCGGCTCACGGGCGGCTTCGACAACATCGATCCTTCATGGTGGTTTCTGCTCGTCAACCTGGCCAACGGCGCGGGAGAATTCGTGGGCAAGGTGTTGGCGGCGTTCTACCTGCCGTCGCTCTGCCATCGCCCGCCGCTCACCGAGGGGAGGGCCCTCGTGCTCGCGCTCCTCCGCATCGGCGTCTACCTGCCTCTGCTCGTCGTGAGCATCGAGCCGTGGCTGATTAAGAGCTCGGCTGCCGTTCTCGCAATACTCTTTCTCGCGGCCGTTCTTTACGGCATCATCGTCTGGAATGCAGTGGCCAACGCGCCCGGCTCCGCGAAGCTTCACGATGACGAGCGCGGCCTTGCAGCGGCGGTCATGGTGACGACCATGTTCCTCGGGTTTGCGTCTGGCGCGACTGCTGCCATCGGCGTGAACCACGGCTTCGGACTCCTCCTTTAGCCACGGCAACCTCTTTCACCCACAGCAGGAGACGCTGCGTCTGACGCGTGTTAGTTTCCACTGGGATGTAGCATACTTGGGGAGAGCCCCCCTCAGGCGCCGTCACGCTTCGTGGCAATCGTGCGCGAGCCCCGTGCTGGTGGACCCACAGCCGAGGCGCCCGGCCAGTTGGAGCGTGTGCCTGTCGGGACCCTATAGCGCCTTAGGGTCAAGGCCAGCTCTCCTTCTCTCGTCCTCTCCCACTGCGGCGCTCTTCTCCAGTGAATGTTTGCGGCGTGCGGAGCGGTGCCACGCCCACGGCTACTGAGCACGGGACTATGCCACGTTCACTAGCTCGCGCCTCTGATAGCGCGACGCCTTACCTTTGGGCATGAATGATTAATCGCTTCACACTCCGCTGTGTTGTCTGCCGCATCTGACCGCGCAGACAATGGGGGAGTGTTGGGAGTGTGAACGCCCTACTCATGAATAGAGAGAGAGGGAGACACGTCTCTATCCTAGCGAGATGTCTGTGTGAACAGGACATGTGCGGGACGTGTCAGGCCGGCTTGCCTTTTGCTCTGTTTGTCGGTCGTCCGCTCAACCGCGGCTTGGCTGATGTAGTCTTGCGTGTACCGTCCCTGTACGCCTCGGTACAGACCCTCGCTCCGTGTACAGCTCACAATCTCGGTGTTGCTTATTTTCCCGGGCACGTTTTCTTTTGACCGCGCAAGACATAAGGGTGGCTCAGGGCTCTGCCCGCAAGGCAGTTACTGCCGCGTCCTGTTGATTATAAAAAGAAAGACCCTTCGCGCGTGTGAACTTCTAGGCCCGCGGGTAGTCTCACCCCATCCCCAGGGCCCTCCAGGGCTCGCACCTCAACCTCTCACAGACCAGCGCACAGCGCCATAGGACGTGATTCATTACGTATTTTTTCTCAATAACAAGGCTGTGAACTCCAACTCTCCAGCTCTGCGGACGCACGACGCCGACGTAGACGCGACATTCTGCTCTATGCAGAATCCCGCCGGCTCTGCGCGAGGCTCTGCGCCTGCGCCTGACCCCAAAGAAGAGGGCGGCTCTCTCCTCGAGAGCGAATCTGCATCTCCCTCTGCCTCCTCGGTCGCAGCTATCGACAGCGAGGCCGCGGCTGCAAAGTCGGATGTCGCCGAATCCGATGTACCCAATCACTCGTCGAGGTCAAGGCGTACACCCCCCCTGCCGACGACCGACGAGCGGGCGCTCTCCTCCATCGCTTCTGGCCACCATTCGCAAGCTCCTCACGGGCCCGAAAGCTCAAAGAGAGTGGTGTCTGCGCTCCTCTGCTGCTGTGCGCGCATCCCAATCTGCGGCGGTTGGTGCGACGCCAACGTGTCGCCAGAGGTGACGTGCTTGCGACAGTTCAGCAACGAGAAGACCGTACCCCGTCCGTGCCTCTGGCGGGGCGGCTGCCGCAGGGTATTTGAGAGCAGCCTGCT